TATTTTGGTTTAACTGTTTTCATCCTGACTGCCTTTCATACCTCTTAAGATTGACTGTTAGATGCCATCTATTCAGACTGAACAGCCCCAAGTTTTGAAATGCACACAATGTTTTGATGAAAGGCATTCTAAGTCTTCATCCACAAAAGCCTAACCTTTTAGCCAATATTTTTGCAACATTGTAATGTTGAAATAATGACCTGATTTTTTTTTAAAATCAGCCCTTTAAACATGAATGCCAAATAAAGTCAATGTATATTTTGTGTCATTGTAGAGCAGTGGAAAATGCTGAATCCAGAAGGAAAGAAACGATATGACCGGGAATTTCTCCTTGGGTTCCAGTTCATTGCAGCTAGTACACAAAAGCCAGATGGTTTGCCAGCAATTAGCGATGTTGTTCTTGATAAGGTGGGTTTGCTAGCCAAGTGTTAATGCGACCTAATAATTGTTACAAGCCAGTGTGACTGTGATCCCTGGCAAAGTATTTACATTATTCCCAATATCTTTTTGTCTTCTGAAGCGTAATGAGCAATCCTTGGTTTTGTCCAGAATGATAATGCTTTATATATTTTCAAGGTACTCTTGTTAAAGAAAATTGCCTGCTTTTCCATTCTATTTCTGTTATAAAAGGTGGAGTCCTGACATGCTCCATGTGGAAATCTAGAATATTGGTCTGGATGTGCAATGTACTTTGGCATGACAGTGCAAGCCACCGTGATGCAGTTCATCAAATAGAAAAAAAGTCCTATAAATCGGGAAGCTTCATGCTATACAGTAATGTCAATGAATATTACTCAGAGACTTCCTTTCTTGTACCAGCTTCCAGATTCAGAAAGTATCTATACAGGACTTTAATTAATTGGTAGCAAAGTTTTTGGAGCCATGATGGATAAAACTTTCATCCCATTTAAGGATGTCGTGAAGTTGCTTTCCATATGCTTCAACAGCTGATGTTTGAAAACCCATACATTTTGTCAGTAGTGATGGTGCTGTGCTCAGTCTTGGCTAGTTATCTTGTGGACAGATGGATAATTAATAAGTGACGTCTGTTTGCAGAATTCACCCGCAAACTGGTGTCAGAATTTAATAGTCGCTGAGCTAAAAGTGAATGTGTGTATGCCTAATTTGGACCTTAGAAGCTTTTGTTAATATCTTCATACTGAAAGGTAGAAACCTTTTATCAGAACTGGAAAAAGTTAGAAATTCTAACTTTCCACAATTCTAATGAATGGTCACAGACCATAATCATTAACTCTGTTTCTCTCTCTCGCTACAGTGATTCAATAGGTTGATTCCTGGGTTGAAGTTGTTCTCATAAATTGAGCAGGTTAGTCCTGCACTCCGTGGAGTTTAGAAGAATGGGACGTGATCTTATTGAAACAAATCAGATTCTGAGAGTCTTGACTGGGTAGATGCTGAGAGAAGGTTTACGATCAAGGCAGCCCTGCTGCCTCACAGCACCAGGGACCCAGGTTCGATTCCACCATCGGGCAACTGCCTGTCTGGTGTTTGCACATTCTCCCTGTGTCCATGTGGGCTTCTTCTGGGTTTTCCAGTTTCCTCTCAAAGTTCAAAGATGTGCAAAGGGATAAGGTGAATTGGCTGTACTAAATTACCCATCGTGTCCAAGATGTACAGGCAAGGTGGATTAGCATGGAAAATGCAGGATTGCAGGGATAGGTTAGGGAGGTGCATCTGGGTGAGATGCTGTTCAGAGGGTCATTGTGGACTTGATGGGCCAAATGGCCTGCTTCCACACTTAGGGATTTTATGATTATATTTCCTATGTTCTTTATTGCAAACCCCTCTTTTCTGAGCCTTCATCTACAACAAGTGAGGAACTTCGTCGCGTTTTTAGCTAAGATTGGGACCACCCAATCAGCTGACTCTGTCACTTCCTTACCATCTGCCTGCTTCACTGAGACAAACTTCCTCTCAGGTACACTTACCCTGTTGTTACCATGAACTTGGTTTACCCAGTTTCCCGTCATGTTCTCTCAGCCTTCAAATACACCTCTAGCTTCCTTATAGCTGTTCCCGTTAAAGTGCTAACCACCCAACTCCCCTTCTGGTGGCTGCGTTAGTTGACATAATTAACAATTCTCGCTCCTCAGATACTGACCCCTTTTTCTTCAAATTCTCCTCATCACCCCTGTCAAAAAGAACTCCGCTCAATTCCTCTTTTCTTGCAAACTGTCATTTGGTCTCCAATTTCTCTTGCCTCTTATGTGCTTGAATGTCACCTCCTATACCTGTGAACACATTTTTTTTTCAGATCCTACTAATCCTCCTCTGTCACTTCTCCATCTATCTGAGTAGGTCTATATTCATCTGATACCATTTTTATCGATCAAATTATAGCAAAGGCTGCTTCCCACTGACACTTTAACACTGGTGTTCTGAGACTTTTCCTTGCCCCCTATTTCTCATCTACATACTGCCCCTCAGTGATATGATTTGAAGTTAAACACTAATTTCCATATGTGCCCTGAAAAATCAAATCTCCTACCTTGGATCCTTCTGCTTTCTCTCCAGTATTAGGCTGCTTGTCCAACAGCCTATACTGGATGAACAGAATTTTTTTCCCCTTTAACTATTAGGAAGACAGGAGTCATTGTCTTCGGCCCCACCACTAAATGTACTCCGTATTCATTGACTCCAGCCCTCTTCATGGCAGCTTTATAAAGATGAATCAGGCTGTTCACAGCCTTGGTGGTAATACTGATCCCGAGATGAGCTCCCAGCCTTTCATATGGCCCTGACATGTGCCATCATTGTAGTTGACTATTTCTACCTCTGTAACATACCAGACTGTGCTTGGCTCAACTTGTACTACTGCAATCCTTATTGATGGCTTGGCTATCTCTGGACTTGATTATTCCAGTGCACCCTCAAACTGTCTTTCATATTCTACCCTCTGCAAACTTGACATCATCCAAAATTCTTGTTTACTGTGTCTGTAACTGTTCACCATCTCCGTGTTTGTTGACCTACATTGGCTCCTTGTTAAGAATTGCCTCAAACTTAAAATTCTCTTCCATGTTTACAAATCCCTCCATGGCCTCACCTCTCCCTATCTCTGTAATCTTCCCTGGCCTATAAGCCTAGCCATCAGAGAATTCTTGATTTTAAAAATTGCATCTTTGTTCGCAGTGCCTTCAGCATCCTGGGCCCCATGCTCTGGAATTCATTCCTTTAACTGTCTTTCCCCCTTAAGATGCCACTGCAAACTCATCTCTGACTCTGCTTTTGATCATCTGCTTTAAACACTTACTAAAAAAAAAAATCACCTATAAAATATGAACATCTTTGGCTGGGTGAGCATTTATTACTCATCCTCAAATGCCGTGGAGAAGGTGGTGGTGAGCTTCCTTCTTAAACTGCAGCAGTCCATTTGGTGTAGATAGATACTCCATGTTGTTTGAAAGTTTCAGGATTTTGACTCAGTGATTCTGAAAAAACAATGATGTATTTCCAAGTCAGGATGGTTAGTGACTTAAATGGGAACCTGCTGGTGGCGGTGTTTCCATTAATTACTGCCAGTGTTCTTCCAGTTGATAGTGGTTATGGATATGGAAGGTGCTTCCTGCTGTTATATTTTACTTCAAAATGCCAATGAAGTGCCTTGGGGCATTTTATTACTTTAAAGATATTAAATGATTGCAAGATGTTTTATAAACCAAATAAATAACATATTTTAACCTGATTATTGTCTTTGTTCTTTTAATTGAAAGAAGTTTGCTTTCAGCTTAATAGAATCATAGAATTGTTACAGGAAGTCATTCAGCCTGTTGTGATTAAATATCTATTAATAGTCCTCCTCATCCTCCTTTCCTCAGGAGAAAAGCCTAAGCTACACCAGTCTATCCTTAAAACTTAACCATCCCTGAAAGCATTGTCATGCACCATTTTTTGATGTGATTTATGATTTTCAAAGTATCAATGTATCAGCTTGGTTTACCTCTTGTAAGTGTCCATTGTGTATTATGCCTTAACCTGTTGAATCAAAAGATGCTTTCATTTTCAGATCAATCAGACCAAACAAATTGCAAGACCTTTGGACCCCTCACGAATGCTGCCCCGAGGCCCAGACTTCACACCACCTTATGCAGATTTTGGAAGGCAGCCACAAAGTGGGCGAGCAGGAACAGTAAGTCATGATTCTCTTAAAGCACATAATATTACTTAATTATCTTTGCTGGGATAGTCTTATGTCTTCATTGAATATCCCTATCACAATGTTTCAGATGAGCATATCGCAGATTTGCAACTGATCAGGGGTGGATGTCTTTAGAGATCAGATTCCAATCTTGGCCAATGGTTTTGTAATTGTAATGCTGGTTTTACTGAAGGGATTGATTGTAGGTCGTTGTAACCAATAAATTTAGTTTCTTGCAAATCTAAGTGAAATTTAAACAGATTTGAACTTCAAACAAACAAGAAAACTTTGGCAGACTACTAAGCAGTGGAAATGCAACTACCTGCATTTTGGACAGGTGGTTTAAACTGTGATTAAAAATCATGAGGTTCATGCATAATTGGCTTCAACTTTCTCAAGTTTTGGACTTTCACTTGGACTTTTTTTAAGTAAACCTAGAGCTATGGCTGTTACTCAGGGAGCCAGGGAGTTCACGAGCTTCGCATTTTCTTGAAACTCAGGCTTTCGTTATTTTCATTTAATTTGTTGTATACGAAGTGCAGAAAAAAGATGGAATGGTAATGCTTGTAACCACTTACTCAAATCTTGGTTTGTTGCCATTTTGGCATTGAAAAATACAAAGCTATTTTCATTTTCCAGAAAATGTCAGTATCTCCATCTGGAGCTAGCAGAGATTACTTTTAATAGTCTGTCTATGGAGAGAGGCAGGCTCAAAGCCAAAGGCCGATTACGTTGTGCATGAAGACGTTAATGGCTGACAGGATGACATCTATAATAAGATATGTGATTATGAATGCAAGAATTCATTTGGTAACCATACACAGTTTGTATCCTGAATTCTATCAGGAAGGTGATTCTTTCCCTCTTTCTCATCCCATCCCACCCCCGCCCCCTCCCAAAAAATGGCTCACCTTGTCAATATTCATTTCCATGGAAGAAACCAAGATAGTTAAACAAACTAATGGACCTACTTCTTTGAAACTTCATTACTGTTATCAGTTACATTTTTTGGGAATATTAGTTTGAATAAGAGAGTAGTCAATGCCAAACATGAATGGGCAATTAATTATATCTATTCTAACATGATTATATGGTCCTTTTTAAGTTCTTGAAAATGTATATTCAGATTTGTTCTGAAACTGGATGTTACTGTTCCTTCAACTCTTCGTCCATCATAATTAGATATAAATATCACTGAAATATTTGTGTCATCGTATATGAACGAGAGTCGGTTTGGAAGATCAGATAACATTTTCCCACTCATTTGCAGAAAATTGTGTTTTACATCAGTCTATTATTTCTAGATGTTCATTAGTAACATGACAATTAGAATGTATCATTCACTGATGTCAATTCATAGACAATGAAACCTGTATTCTGGTAGAGTAAAGTTCCACATTATCAATAGCAATGTTCTTGGTTACCCTTAAAAGGAATAGCCTTACAAGGTTGCAAGCACTGGCTATGTACCATTTGCAAGATCAGAGACTTTCTTAAATTCTTGGAGTTAATTGAGACAAAAAAATTGAAATAATTATTAAAATTATTTTAGGTTAAGAATGAGGATCTTAATCTCCTCAATTTAACAATTACCTGGAATAGTTTGCCTAACACTGCTCATTCCAGATGAAAGACCTGTGCATTTGATCTTAAATTTTTAAAAAGTTGTCATCACACCATATGTTCTTCCTTTCCATCCATTTTTAATTGTTATTATCTGCCCTAATTTTGACTTTTCTACTGGCTGCTCCAGGAACATTGTGGAAAAACAGAAATTGTTGGAAAAGCTCAGTAAGTCTGGCATCAGAGAGAAATCAGTTAACTGTTCAGGTTGAGTGACCCAAAGAGAGAGAAGAAAAGTTGGGCAGACAAAGGAGTGGATAACAATCAGCCTTGAAGAATGAATAACTACTAATGGGGACTATTAGTGACTATCAGTGGGTTGTGTGTGACAGCAGGTCATGTGATAACAAGGTGTGGTGTGTGGGAGCACCTTCCTCTGCAACCACAGAAGGTGTAACACCTGCCCGTTTACTTCCTTCCTCCTCGGTGTCCAAGGGCCCAAACACACCTTCCAGGTGAAGCAGTGCTTTACCTGCACTTCACTCAGTCTAGTATTCACTGCTCACAGCGTGGTCTCCTTTTGCATTGGGGAAGTGAAGCATCGACTGGGTTAACTGCTTTGCATGACAACTACATTCTGTCTACAGAAAAGACCCTGAGCTTCCAGTTGCTTGCTACTTTAACACACCCCATCTTGTTCCCTGGCCAACATCTCTCTCAGCTTGCTGCAATGCTCCATCGAATCTCAGCGGAAGCATGGAAGAACGGCACCTCATTTTCTGCTTTGGAACTCTACAGCCTTCTGGACTCGATATTGAGTTCAACACCCTTAGGGTTTGAGGCCTTCTCCCATGTCCTTACCTGAACCTCACACATCAGGCCGTGTTATCACATGATCTGCCATGAAATAACCCATTGTCAGCCACCAATTGGCCCTATTAGTAGCCATTCATTTTCCTTGGCTGATTGTTATCCACTCCTTTCTCTGTCTAACTGTTCTTCTCTGTCTTTGGGCTCTATACCCATGTATACTCTTTACCCACTCCCCAACACACACACACCCCTTCATAAAAACCAGCATTTTCCTAGCTGCCATCAGTTCTGAGGAAGGGTCAGTTGACCCGAGCACGTTAACTCTGATTTCTCTCGATAGATGCTGCCAGACCTGCTGAGCTCTTCAAGCAATTTCTGTTTCTGATTTCCAGCATCTGCAGTTTTTTTTGTTTTTATTTGCTACCTATAGAAGAATTTGTGGATCAAACTAATGAAAACTTAATATGACAGTTTATTCTGAATTGTAATTTGAAGTAGAACATAGTACTTTTGATATGTATTGAATCTTGTGATTAGACTGCATTTAAGTTTTCTTTTACTTAGCCTTTTATGAGTCACCTCTGTTGTGTTGTGTGTGAATAGGTTCCTTCAATCCCGAAGCACCTTTCTGGTCAGACTAGAAAAGTTTTCTTTTGTAAATAAGGTGAAATTTATTGCATGACTGAAAACATTTACAAATTGTATGAATATTACCTACATTGCTCCAGAGACTGTTAGAAGGTCACGAGCCTCACGTCTGCTCCCTTCCAGTTTCTACTTTATTCTGACCAAATCCCTGTTCAATATTGCAGTGGTTTGTGTTTTCTGCACTGAAGGAAGTATTAACCTTTTCAGATATGCAGATCTTCTCCCAAGTATTTTCCTGCTCATACTATTATTGTTATGCTTTTCTTTACGTATTTGCGTTTGCCAATGCACCATCTCACTTCAGGTTTTGACTTTACAAATTCAAACATTCTGGATGTTTCACAGTTCTCTTCAGACCTGGAGGTATGTTGGGTTCGAGGTAGTTGATTTGGACAGTTCAAGTTCTCTCGTAAATTGGAGGGCCCTTTAGTCTCTCATTTCATTGGCAGAGGATTTCTGTGCTGTGCAACAGATTTTTATACTTGTTGGTATGGTCCGTGCTGTATTTATCTCACATGAGCTTGGATATTTGCGCATAATTTCTCTCTTCTTGGTTATGTCTAGCTTGGAATTTTATGCACCGTGTCTTCACTTTGCATCAGTGGAATTTGGTACTCATTCTGCCTTTGAATCTGTGCTGAATTATGAGGACATGTTACTTCAACTTCTTGAATATTTTGTGTTTTCTCTTCCTCTCATCAAATGAATTATTAATGAAACTAGTTTGTACATTTCCTCAATTGTATTTAATAGAGGTTCATTCTGGCTTGATCGTATGCCCGTTACTGGTAGGGATTTCCCATTGAAATATGGGGATGTCAGACATTTTCCTTGACCTCACTACGTTACTGCAAACATTTACAAATTATTTCAAAATGACCTGCATTACACCAGAGACACTTAGGAGCACACTAGCCCCTGTCCTTCCTGATCCCCTCAGCCTCTATTAAAACTTGGATTTGGAGTTGATTGGTGTTTAGAGTGCTGTGTAGCAATCTGGCCCAATTCAATCACAGATGCTTCTGCATCCTATTGAGCAATGTTGGATGATCTTGAGTAGTTGCTGCATCTTATTGTTTTGGACTTCCTCTCAAGCTTTCAGAAAAAAGCAAAATGCTGATGCTGGAAACCTAAAATAAGAACAAAAAGTAATGGAGAAACTCAACAGGTCTGGCAACATCTGTGGAGAGGAAATTGTTAATATTTTAAGTCCGTATGATTTTTCTTCAGCCTGTAGAGACTACTGGTAAAACCACGTGTGGATGCATTTGAATGTTGCACTGTTGCACTAAATCTTGCCCTTTCAAGAATGCCATTAGTTTAGAAGTTGAAATAATTGTCAGAAGCTTTGAATGCCTCTTTGAAATTGCCTAATGTTTCATTTATGTCTTGGTGGACAATATCATTTGCTATGCTCCCAATTATGTATAGAAGTGTATTTGCTTGTTCAGCTTCCATCTTGATGTCCAGTTTAAAAGTTATTATATACCTCCAATTTTGTCCCATATTTGTATGTATTTGTGTTACATTTGACCCACGTATGAAATCTAACTTGCTGAAAATGCTGTTTTTGATGCAATAGCTTCCTAATATGATAGATATATTAAAAGACAATAAGACTATAAGATATAGCAGTAGAAGTGATCAGTTGGCCCATTGAGTCTTCAATGCCGTTCAATAAATCCATGAGTATCTGATAATCCTCAACTCTGCTTTCCCCTCAGTAACCCTTTATTCCCTGACTGATTAAAAATCTTTTTTGTTTCAGCCTTGAATGTACTTAATGACTCAGCTTTTACAGCCATCAGAGGAAGAGAATTCCACAGAAATATTATCCTCTGAGAGAAAAACTTTCCTCCATCTCTACCTTAAATGAGCTACCCCTTACTCTGAGATTATGCCCTCTGGTCTTGGACACTCCCACAAGGCAAACAGCCTCTTCACAACTGCTCTGTCAAGTCCCCTAA